CAGTTGGAATTAACAGCCATTTATGTAGGTGTCAAATTAGCTAATTATATAAGAAATAAGTTGCAGGAGATAAATATTAGTGACACTGTAATTTGGTCTGATAATGAGGTATCCTTACAATGGATTCGTAATGGAAACAGTAAAATTGTGTATGTACAAAACAGAGTAGCTGAAATTAATCAGATGCAAAAGAAGTATAATAGTTTGCGTCAGCATATGTTAACATTTAATCATATACCTGGTGAGGAGAATCCAGCTGATTTCTTGTCTCGAGGTTTACCGTATGCTAAATTTGTAAATGCTGTATCATGGTTTAAAGGACCGAGCTAGTTGGTAAATAAAGCTAATTGACCTGTACAAAAGGCGTATATTGCTCCTGCTGAAATTACTGTGACCACCGCTCCAATAGTTTGTCCTTCCTTAGCCATTGATATAAATAGGTATTCTTCTTTACTCAAACTAATCAATGTAACTAAGTTGGTGTTTAAATTTCTAAACAAGATGAATATCTCGTATAAGTTTTCACATCCTCTTGAATATTGGATAAAGAGGGTACAGGAAGAAATCTATGGAAATGAGATTAAATTGATGATGGAAAGAAAAATTGTGAAAGGTTCCATAATACAGAAATTGGGGCTGTATTTAGAGAACAATGTAATTAGGTGCTGAGGTAGGTTACAAAATGCTGAATTTGGTGATTATGCTAAGCACCCTATCTTACTGCCCAAAATTCATCATCTAACAAATTTAATTGTTTTAAATGCCCATAAAAATGTAAAGCATGGTGGGGTACAAGATACCTTAAATTGTATTAGGGAAACCTTCTGGATTCCACAAGGACGGCAAAGTGTAAAAAGGGTTATTAAATCTTGTGTAATATGTCGCTGAGTGGATGCCAGATCCTATATGTACCCAGGTCCTCCATCATTGCCAAAGGAGCATGTACAATTAGTGAAACCATTTGATGTTACAGGTGTAGACTATAGTGGTCCAATCATTTTAACAGCTACTTCAGATGGTGTTCCACTGAAAGGGTATGTATGCTTGTTCACTTGTACTGCTACTAGGGCAGTTTATTTAGAAGTGGCACAGGACTTGTCTGCAGAACAGTTTATACAGCTGTTTCGAAAATTTTATGCTAGGAGATCCTGTCTGAGATTGATGATTTCAGATAATGCCACAAATTTTGTAGCAGTTGCTCAATAGTAATAAGGTTCAATCTCTGTTAACCCAGTGAGGGTGTACCTGGAAATTTATTACTCCTAGAGCCCCTTGGCAGGGGGGGCTGTATGAAAGACTGATAGGCACAGTGAAGAGGTGTCTCCGTAAAGCACTACACCGGAAGAGAATTAATTTGGAAGAATTCTGTGCAGTGTTAGTGGAGGCGGAGAATCATATAAATATTAGGCCTCTCTCGTACATGATTGATACACCTGATGCAGATGTATTAACACCTTCTCACCTAATATGTGGAGGGAAATTGGAAGCTGCCCCTGTCTATAGAAATAATCCGGAAGAAAGTGATGAAGATTACAATGATGCAGCAGTGTTGTGTCATAAATTTAAAATGTTAAATAAAGTAATTGATCATTGGTCTAATGTGTGGGGTAAGGAATATCTTCTTACACTATGTGAACACTTTTATGTTGTGACTGAGGCAGTAAATCGACAGAACATTCAACCAGGTGACATTATGTTAATTGATACTGGACAACATCAAATATTGTGGCCTCTGGGTAAAGTATTAACACTGTACCCATGAATCTAAGGGAAAGTGACACGAGTGATATTGAAGGTGATGCTGACCAAGTGATGCAGGAAGATGAAATTGTAGTAAGACCTATTAGGAGAACAGCCACTCAAGCTGGAATCGTCTCCTAAAGGAAGGAGTAATTTGAGTCGTTTAGCAACGACCTCCGCCTGGCCGCAGTATGGAAAATAATTTCCCAAAATTTATGCTGTGTAAATAAACCTGATTAATACATAACTATTGTTCTGTTGAGTGCATTTTAAATAAGAGAATCGACAGGGAAGCTCTGCGCCTGCACTGATGAGCAGGGGGGAGAGTCACCATTGTTTTTTTTTTAATGTGATACAAACATGTTAATGTAAGGTGTATAATTTTCGTCACTCTAGGGGTTATATTGGGCTTAAAACCTCTCAAATAGGAGCTGAAATTGTTGGATGTGCATTCCTGCATAACTTGAGCATTAAACAGATATACAGGACAGCTCCATGAACCTCTGATAAACTATCTAAATTATGTTTGTAATTCTGGCCAGTATTATCATCATAAATTTAGTTAGAGGGGGATTCCGTACATGATACATAGTAATCTCCAGACAAATTGGTGAGTGTTATGATTATAAATTCTCCTTCTGTTATATAAATGTGTATATGTAATCATTTATTAATTTTAATATACAGACCACAATTTATATTAAATTTACCAGAATTCCTGGTGATGTACTTTTCATTTGCAATTAATATAGGTCTAGAGCAGCTTGTGGAGAGATAGATGGTAGGTATCGAAGGGGTACATTTTTGCGACCTAGGTGTCCTAAAAATTCCTACTTGCTCTATAACTTTGATAAATAATAATTATCTTTGTTACCATTTACTTGTATGTATCTAATGAGATTCATCCAGGTAAATGTAATTTTCCACACTGACCTTTGTTTGAGGAAAAGCTCCGACGAAGAGCAGGGGGGGTTCATGAGGGTGGTCTGCTGGGGGTGTATTCAGAAAGGTCATAAGTGAAAGGGATCGAGGGTACTTGAGGTAGGATTCGTGTGGAGGAGTCGAAGAGGCGATTTTTAGGATGAGTAAAGGGAAAGCACTAGGCATAGATGTATAATCTAATGAATTTTATAGGACGCATTGGGGAAGCATTAAACAATGCTTGGTTAAGGTATTGAATTGCATGCTTATGGAGGGAAGTTGGATACATCACATAGTACAGGGGTAGTGGTGTTGGTGCCCAAAAAGGGAGGGGGGAGAGGTCTGAGCGCATATAGGGCTATCTCTCTAATGTGTTCAGACTTTAAAATATTCGCAAAGGTCCTAGGTAACAGGATGAGAAAAGTCATGGAATCAGTTATTCATAGGGGACAACTAGGCATATCAGGTAGGAGTATGAGGGAAGGACATGGGCTATTAGGGGTTTTGGGGGAAATATCGAGGGGGTGGTCCTCGGGCTTGACTGGCAAAATGCTTACGACTGTGTTGACAGAGATTTATTAAGGCTTATTTTATTGAAGCAGGGTTTTGGGGAGGGAATAGTACGATGGGTTGACACTTTGTATGCCTCTGCAATGGTAAGAGTACAGGTGAACGGTAAGTTAGGGCAGCCTGTACGCATGGAACGGGGTTTGAGGCAAGGTTGCCTCCTCTCTCAGCTGCTTTTTGCCTGTTTGCAAAATCCATTTTATGAACTGGTGGATGGTGGTTTGGGATGTGGGGTACTGGGTAATAATCATGCAGCGTGCATAGTCGGTTACTTGGATGACACCACGATTTTGTTAAAAGGGGAGGAGGACTTGCAGATCGTAGGCAGGTTGTTTGAGTTTTTTGGGGCAGCAACTGTATTGTGTCAAGAGAGCAAAATCAAAATTATTGGAGGTGGGTACGTGGGTGGGGGGGGTTGGGGGGAAAGGTTATGGGTGGTCAGTTGTGCAGCAACTTAAAATATTGTGGGATTGCGTATATGGCGGAAGAGATGGAGGTCGAAGGGTAAATTCTGAATTGGTGGTAAAAAAGGCTTTAGACTGTCTCAGAGGTTTAAGAGCTGGGATGTCTCCTTGCAACAAAGGGCAGTGGGTTAACTCTCTTGTTTACAGCATGGTATGGGAATGACTGAGGTATACCCATTACGGGACGTGGATACTCAGGAGCTGCAAAGAAGGTCTTATGGTATGTATGGGGTTATGGGAGAGCTTGGTTGAGTAGGGAGGTTGTCATGACACACATACGTCTGGGGTTTAGGTCTCTTGGCATTGGGGCCATGGGCAAAGGCTGTATATGTAAAGCAGTGGGTTCCTTAGGGAGGGTGGGGAGAGAGGAGCCCGGGTGGGTTGGGTAATGGTAGATAAACGCAAATGGTAGAGTGGCAGAGGATTAATAGAGTGTGAAGACGTGTTGTGTCTGTGTTGAAGTTGAAAAATGTTCAAAGGATTAGGGCGGGGCAGATGGTGCAGAGATGTTGCCATAGGGAAATTGTGCAGGGAGTGTCTGTTTTTTTCCACTGTATAATTGGGGGGAAATATGGGACGGTTTTTTGTAAGCTTAAGTTAGCACCGAGGGTTTGCGAATTAGTGTACACGATTCATCATGGGTATTTTTAGCTTCGAAATCAGTTTTAAGCAGGATGGGATGGTAAGGATGCGAATTGTTTAAGTTGTGGTCTGGAAGAAACTGTGTTTCATGCTGTTTATTTTTGTGAAACATTGGAAGAAGTTCGTACATGGTTGGGTAGGGTTTTAAGGTTTCTCAATGGGAGAAGTATCTCAACTCTACGGGCATTAACCTTGGAAGTTAGTGGAGTACCAAGGGAGGTAAGAAGGGCAATACTGTACGTGGTGGCTGACTTCCTATATATCTCATGGGGAATGATGGAAACCAAGGGAGCAGTTAGGGTTAGGGCGATTGAAGCGGGTATTTATAGAACAGCTTGTAGGAACAGACTCCTTTACGGTGGGAGGTGGGGTACCGTCTTCCCTGCAAGCTATAGGAGTCTTACAGTACAGCGGTTGCTGCAACTGAGAGGGGGGGTAAGGCAGCGAGGGGCTGGACTCATCCCATGGTAACACCCTAAGGTATGTTAGGATATTAGGGTGGAAGCAGGAATTACTGAGTTGCGTGTTTGTAGTTTTGGTAAGTTACGTGTGCTTGAGGGTGTATGGATGTGATGCGATGTGCGACTGAGATCTTGTTTTTTTTCTACTTTCTGGACATTATGTCTAGCAAGACGGACAAAACGTTTTTGTTTGGTAAATGCTTTTTCCATTTGTGAAACTGGACCAGTTCCCGTCTATGGCCGAGTTTGTATTTTTTTGCTAATGTTTTTTTTGGTGACGTAGCGAAGTCTATGTGGATCTTTCCCAAGTGTTATCGTAGGTATTGTTCATGACATGTAGCACACAATCGTCGTGCTGATGTCAGCATCATTAGTATAGTGTTTTATTTGTCTTTTTAGGGGTTAATTTTAAGCATCCTAATTGGTGTGCAAGAGAAATATTGTTTTTGGGTCTCCTTTTTGTGAAACGACCACCCCATGGGGTTTGTCGTTAATTTTCTGAAGGATGACAAAATGTTTCAACTACTTACGATTTTATCGTGTTAAGTAGTTATCTCTAGACTCCTATTTAAAGTTTTCAATGGATTTGATGATAGGTAACATGTGTATGGTGTGAAGGGGAACAGTATTTCGACAGGGGGGGTAAGTCGAAGTAATCCCACATTCAACCTTATGGCCCATAAGCATATGGGTGTTAATACTGATTGTACATGGTAGTTAGGAACTTACAACTGATTCCCTTTTGGTTTAGCGCTTCCTCTTGATTATAATAATAATTACACTTGATTCCATGTCATAAATATGTACCTACCTCTTGGACTGTAAACTGAAAACTTTTGTGTTACTCATTAATTATGATTTTCTGTACCTTTTCTTTTGTCACATGAAGTTTTTACATAAAATATATATAAAAAAAAGGAAAAAAAATATACATACAACTGATTGTTATACGATGATTATGATACAGTTGTAGGTAAATTATTTGTATTCTTTTTTTTCAGGGTTTTCCATATATTTGTTTATCATTTATATTATCACTTATGTTATTATTTGCATTTCCAGTAACGTACTGGATAACTAGTTTTGGACATTGCAGTGTTTTGATCAGTTTTAATTTTGGGGTTTTTGAGTTGTATATAAGCGGTGAGTGGTGAAGGTTAGTTCAGGGTATTGGTCTAATACTCTTTTGATGTGAAAGTTTTGATTGTGTTTTTCCTTTATATAACCTGATTGTTAATCGCTGATGTATGTTCTTATTGTATGTAAATTGTATGTATACTGGTTTTTTAAATAAAAAATAAAAAAAATTTCCTCTGGGTCTTGGTTTTGCAATATGTCGGTATTTTGTCCCTCTTATGCCCAGTTGTCTTATGATCAAGTATCTATTAACTGCTAGGTAACAGGGGCAGCAAGTGTTAGGAGACTTTCCAAGTATCTTACATCGTATATGAGCTGAAAACGAGGTAACCACAGCACTACGAGGAACTAACACAAAATATAAGATAAAATGAATCATACATATGATATTACTTACCTAGTACTTTCCATGAAGACAGTCAGAGAGATAACAAAAAATAACTCCAGTACGAGCAGGAAAAGGAAGATGACAGATACGAATGATTTCCATTTGTACCGGAGCCATGCTTTTGTTAAAGAGTGTTGGAGCAGCTGAAGAAGGTTGTTGTTCCACCATTAGATTCACAGGATGACACTTTTTTCCATTCAAGTCGATCTTGGATAAACTGTACCGCATCTTCACTCAACTTCCCACTTTCTTTATCAAAGGGACTCTGGGCTATTTTGCCTGAGACTGAGAAAAAAATTATTTCAGAATATTGTACATTAATAACTATTATTATCAAAATATACTTCATTAGAGAAATCATTTAATACTACAATTTTGTCGAATAATTAATCTAATTTTATATATTGTAAGACTATAAATTGCGTCACTAATTGACGAATATCAACAAGTTGTATGAGAACATTTCCTGTTTCAACATCGACACCATGCCCAGCCCTTCTAGCGTAGGGTAGGTGCCTGAGCCAGAGCTTGTAGCTCACAAGACTGTCATTCCCATTAGTCCCCTTGAGGCGGGGATGGCAGACCAGAGAGGCCTAGCTTGTGGCTAGGCCTGGGGACAGTTGGTCCCAAAGATGAGGAGGTACTTGTGCCTCTTCCCATGGGAGACTTAGGTCTCAGGCACTCCCTGAAGAGGGAGCCAAGGCCGGGCCACCACTTGGAAAAGGCCCGGGCCGGGAGAATACCGGCGAATCTTTAATAATAACAATGTTACCCAAGAAGTCAAGTCTAATTTTTTTTGTAGTTGCTACCTGTCTTAATATTGTGGTACCTTAGTTTTATACCTTTAACTTTACTCATGATATGCCTCTGATGAGTTCCTAGAGTTTTTCTAGTCCTAGAGCTCAGCCATAGGCCAGGCTCGTCTGTTGTTTGCTTGGTCAACCAGGCTGTTACTGCTGGTGGCCCACTGCCCCACATATCCATCACAGCCTGGTTAATCAGGCATTGTACTTTCTCTCACCAATCTTTGAACCTTAAGCTTATCGAGTGAATGGACCACTTGTAGTGATGGTATCCACTGTGTGTTTTTCTCCCCCTTGTTTGTCTATTTTGAATGAGCCAACAGAACTTTGAGAGATTTAATGAGCTGTTGTAAATATGGCAAAAAGTTAGTGATTCCTGTTCTGTGGCAATCAACCCAACGTATATGCGACTCTTCCATTCTGGTAGCGGCGCTTCTCCTGTCTTCTCGTTACCTCCATGTATCTAACATCTCAGCCATCTGGTCCACCGTCTCATTAACGGGTTGCTCGAGTCAGAGCCTGTGTTCTACAACACTACATTAAGTTGACGTGCACTCATTATCAGTGTTCAGGCTCATTTTACCACGGGTGAGCAGATCTGTCTCCCATGACACTCTTCAGGTCACTTGTTCTATCTAGGCTGGAATATTGCTGCACACTAACAGCACCTTTCAAGGCAGGTGAAATTGCTGACCTAGAAAATGTACAGAGAACCTTCACGGCGCGCATAACGGAGATAAAACACCTCAATTACTGGGAGCGCTTGAGGTTCCTGAACCTGTATTCCCTGGAATGCAGGAGGGAGAGATACATGATTATATACACCTGGAAAATCCTAGAGGGACTAGTACTGAACTTGCACACGAAAATCACTCACTACGAAAGCAAAAGACTTGGCAGACGATGCAACATCCCCCCAATGAAAAGCAGGGGTGTCACTAGCACGTTAAGAGACCATACAATAAGTGTCAGGGGCCCGAGACTGTTCAACTGCCTCCCAGCATACATAAGGGGGATTACCAACAGACCCCTGGCAGTCTTCAAGCTGGCACTGGACAAGCACCTAAAGCCGGTTCCTGGCCAGCCGGGCTGTGGCTCGTACGTTGGTTTGCGTGCAGCCAGCAGTAACAGCCTGGTTGATCAGGCTCTGATCCACCGGGTGGCCTGGTCACAGACCGGGCCGCGGGGGCGTTGACCCCCGGAACTCTCTCGAGGTAAACTCCAGGTACTCCAGGTATGAGATGATCAAATCTTCTCGATATGTCTTCCGTAGCTATTCTATTTATGTTATTAATATTTATTATTTTTTATTATTATTAACACATAGCCGTCTCCCATCAAGGCAGGGTGGCCCGAAATAGAAAAACTTTAAACATCATTCACTTCACCACTGTCTTGCCAGAGGGGCGCTTACACTACAGTAATAAAACTGCAACATTAACACCCCTCCTTCAAAACTAAGCATTAAACCTACAAGGATCATATAGCACTGAAGGGCAGGATGTGCTAAAGATGTGCGAAGATCGCCCCTGAATATAGGTTCTCGACCAGGGAGACAGGAAAAACACCTAGACACATACTCAGTCCCTGATGATGAATGGGATCACGTTTAGAAAGAGTTGAGGGAGAGGTTGTTGAATATATTTAGTAGCCTTAATCCAGTTTCGATAAGATTATGGCAGAATGAAGACGAAGGAGAGTTCGTTTATCAGCCCCCAAGAAAGATAGGCGAGGGTTTTGAGGAAGTTGAGCCAGCTATGACAAGTTGCTGTCAGGGAGGTAATGTGAAGTTTCCAGGAGATCCGTCGATCAAACAGAAGTCCGAAAAAGCTGACTGTATCTCGTTCAGGGTTATGGGAACGATATAGATATAATGCGGGATTTGATACAACAGAGCGTCTAGTAAATTTAATAATTTGATGTGTATTAATAACAAAAGAATTATACCCATGAATAGTAGCGCAGCGTGAAACATGGTCGATAATATTCGGCAGAGAGGCTACTACTAGGTAACACTCAGCTCCTTCCCAAGCTATAGCAAAATCATCAACATAAAGTGACGACCAAATATTAAATGGCAGAACAGTGGAAAGGTCATTGATATAAAATAGAAAAAGAGTTGTTCTAAGAACTCTGAGGGACATCTTCAGCCTGGACATGGTCATGGGAAAACATATTAACCCGGACACAGAAATGTCTCTCAGACAAGATATATTTAAAGAAAAGCGGCAGATTGCTTCGCAGGCCTGGACAATAAGCCTAGGCCAAGATATTTTATCGCTTTTTCAAAATAATTATATAAAAAAAACTGTGATAACCAAGTGCCTATTAGCAAAGGCATTACTAACATAGGTATCAAAACAGAGTAAGGGGTCAGTAGTGGATCGGCCATTAGGAATGCCTAATTGATGAGTGGAAAGACAATTATGTCTTCAAATACCACACCTAACGTCTATTCACCAGGCATTCCAGAAATTTGCAAACTGCACTAGTAGGAGTAATGGGTCAATAGTGGGGGCATCATGGTCTGAAATACCCAGTTTATGAAAGGGCAAAACAACGGCAGTTTTCCATGGAGGAGGAAGAACCTCTTGTGACCAAACAAGATCAAAAATCTTAAATTTCGATATAACTCATTATTTGAATCGAATAAGACTGAAATGAGTAAAAACATTATAAGAACTTAAGATTTTATGGTGTCTTGAAGTTGGTGAAAAACTGATCATTCATCCTGAACAGCAACGTAAAATAGCACAACGATACGTTTATTCTTTCGTTTTATTAATTGCTTTTAATGTTTAACAATTTTTAACTTCTATTAATGTTTAACATTAGTTTCTTAAGATATTAGATGTGTTTAAATATGTTTTAGCACTT